GCTTGTTGTGGGGGGGGGGGGAAATAAAACTGAATTTACACACCCGGGGATGTGGTCACTGCGCAGGAAGCGATAGAGTGAGCTCTATATATCGCTTCTTCTCCTCTCTCTATAATCAGGGAGCAATTACCGGGATTGGTGGGGACAAGTGCAGGCAGCAGAGCAGCACCAACCAGACAATCATCACAGGGAACAGCTCGGCAGAGTTAGGAGGCAGCTTCTCAAGGCAGAGTTGTCCTCTGTTAAGTGCCTGTAGAGACACTTTTTAGGGTCCATTCACACCGGTTCTGTTGCCTTGCCATCAGTTGCCCCGACTTGAAACCCCTTGCCTCGACTTGCAACCCCTTGCCTCGACTTGCAATGTTTTTCAATGGATGCTAACAGAAGGGCGCTAAAAAAAAATGAATGGGTGTGAATGGGGCTAGTTCACACCGCTCCGTTCCGTTGCACTGAAAAAAGTAGAACATGCATTACTTTTTTTCAGCGCAAAATAACGCAACAGATGCAGTATCAACGAGCATCCGATAAAAAACGGATCACAACACAATGGATCCAGAAGGAAATTGGAAGGATTCAATTGCAAAGCAAGTCCCTCCACTGACTTACGATTTTGGTGTGAATGTGCCCATAGAGAGTCAGCCTGATGTGCAGATGTGCGTCTGGTCAGACTAGGCCGAGACATCTGCGGCTAATATCTGTGCTACATTGTAATACAGATATTGGTTTACAGGGTGCAAACACTGTGCCATTCCTGCAACAAATCTCAGTTTGCACTTTCCCAGTTCCTGGTGCACACGTTGCAAATCCTCTTCAACATTGGCACACTAAGTTGTTTCTTTGATGAAGGTACATGTGTGATGCACAATTGACAATTAGCTTTTTGCGACCGCTGTGTAATCAAATGCTGCGAGACAATTCTGAGGTCAGGCAGTGAACAAGCCAGGAAATGTCAGTCTCGTTTAAAAGCAATAACATCATTACAGTACGGCTGACACATTTGTATTGGTTGAAAAGAAAACATGAAGCAGCAATGCCCCTTTAGGGCTAATAAATATGCCACAGGGTAGTTGGCAGGTCCTCTTTTGGTTATAGACAATCACGTGTACACAATGAGATTTCTTTGTTCATCATTACATATACTTTTGTAAAGATGGACATAGACATTAGATGATAGTTTCTTGACACCACCAGCCAAGGCTTGTTGGGGTCAATTCGGACCAACCAGAAGGGAGCTCTTGTTCAGTCCCAGTTGCTTTCCCAGAATAAGCCGCAACCTCTCCGTAGTCGGCATATATAGCAAAGGACAGCTGCACCGTGTCCGTATATCAAACTGGCCTCTAAAGTCTACAGGGGCCTTGAAGGCTCCAGAATCCAGACTCAGTCACTAACCTTCATTGACCCGCGGCAGATTCGACTGATCGATTGGAATGTGGGTCATGTTGGGGACCTTCTGCTTAATCCTGGTTAGAATCCAGTTTTTCGGTCCACATTAACGAAACATGAAAAAGGGAGCTGGAAAGGAGAACAGACGGGGACTTTATAAGTCATACAAGAACTTTACTCACAAGAACAGCAAAGTATATAAGCTTCTTTCCTGACAACATGCTTTTCTACTCTGGCCACAGACTTATCCGCTCCTCCGTGGAATGTTGTTTGTCAAAAAAAACACACTGGGTTTAATAGTAAACTTATTCCTGCTGTCTGTCCAATCAATCTAACTCATATCTGTTTTATCTATTCTATCTTATCTATCTACTTTATGACCATCTGTCCATATGTATCCACCCAAGTCTAATGTGCAGTATCTATCTATTTATTTATTACAGGTATTTATATAGCGCCAACAATTTACACAACGCTTTACATAGTGCACATTCACATCAGTCCCTGCCCTCAAGGAGATTACAATCTAAGATCCCAATCTCAAATGCATATACAATATAGGGAAGACATTACAATCACAATACAAATCAAGACAAGATGGTAAGGAGGGCCCTGCCCCTGAGGGCTTACAATCTAAAAGGGAGGGGGAAGTGATACATGAGGAGGGAGCTGTGTGGAGATGAGTTGTTTGAGAACGTGATGGTTGAGCGGTTAGGTTGAGGTGGGATAGGCTTCCCTGAAGAGATGAGTCATTAGGGAATGTCTAAAGGCAGTCAAGGTGGGCGACAGGTTGGGGTAAAGAATTCCAGAGGATGGGAGAGACTCGAGAAGTCCTGGAGGTGAGCATGGGAGGAGTTGACAAGGAAGCTGGAAAGCAGGAGGTCTTGGGATGAGCGGAGCCGACAGGTAGGGTGATACTTTGAGACCAGGTTTGAGATATAGCCGGGGGCCGAGTTGTGGACGGCTTTGTAACCGATTATTAATATTTTTAATTTTATCCTTTGTGCGAGTGGAAGCCAGGGATTGACAGAGGGAGGTTGCAGACACTGAGCGGTTGGTTTGGTGGATGAGTCTAGCAGCTGCATTCATGATAGACTGAAGGGGGGATAGCCTGTGTAGCGGAAGGCCAATGAGGAGGGAGTTGCAATAGTCAAGACGAGAGATAGCAAGCGAGTGGATGAGTAATTTTGCGGTTTCTTTGGTGAGGAAGGGGCGTATTTTGGAGATGTTACGAAGGTGAAGGCGGCAGGATTTGGATAGTGATTGGATGTGGGGAAGAAAGGTGAGGTCCGAGTCAAGGATGACACCTAGGACCTTGGCATGGGAGGACGGGTGGATAGTTGTGTTAACAATCTCAAGGGAAAAGTTGGGGGAAGGTGCACGGGCAGGAGGAAATATCAAGAGCTCAGTTTTTGAAAGATTGAGTGTTAAGAAGTGTTGCGACATCCAGATGGATATGTTGATAGTAGATTAACCTACCAGCATGTCTTTGGAGTGTGGGAGGAAACCCACCCAAGCACAGGGAGAACATGCAAACTCCTTGCAATTAGTGACCTGGCCAGAATTTGAACCAGAGACCCCCAGTGCTTCAAGGCAGAAGTGCTAACCACTACGCCACCGTGCACCGTATCTATCCGTCTCTAATGTGCATTATCTATCAAAAAAAGTCCGGCCTATCAGTCTTATCCATCCATTTATCCACATATAAAATTCCTTTAGCATAAATCAAGCATAGTATGAGGTCACATCCTGTGCCCCCTACCTATGCCCACTATTGACACAGGAGTGATTGCACCCCCAGGAAGTGGGTGAGGTTGGCTCATTTACAGCCCTGAGCATACACATCATAGAACAGACAATGCATATAGTATAGAAAATACATAACACACACATACACACACACACACACTACCTATAGCGCCCAAGTAAGAAGATGCCAGGCCCGGAAAAAGATCAGGAAAAGATAGTGGCAGCAGCAGATGAATGAGGGAAAGCACAGACAGAGCAATGTTGGAGTAGGGCATACTAGGAGGTAAGTGCGCCATAGTTTGTGAATATGCGGTGTATACATGCACATCTTGGCAACAGCTCCGAGAACCAGCAGGGCATTTAGTTCCATTTTAAAAAAAAGTTATTTGATTCAAAACAGAAGTTACAAACGTGATCTGCTGCTTGTTACAGTGAGGTAATTGTACTCTTCATCATCAGGAAAAGGAGAGGGGATTGGACAATGATATAAACAAACTACAATCTGCCTAAACATTCCATATACACATCAGATCTCTGCCTTACATCAAGAAGAGGGATCGCCAATGTGACAGCTCTAAACCACCCACCAGTCCGCACCCTGTTTAACTGAAGCAACTCAAATGCCAATTAACAGAACTTTAAATTGCTAACCCAACTTTTAAGCTGGCCATACACTGCTCAAATTTTGGGCGAGTCCTTCTGACGCGGCCAAAATTCAAGAAGCTCCTCCAGTCAATTTCACAAATTGAGTTTTGTCGAGGGAGCCAGTCCAAAAATTCTCAGTGCTGCCAAAGTACTGAACGGTGCTGAACGAGAAATCGTATGGTGTATGGCCAGCTTAAGTATTGTGTTTATTCCACTACCACCCCTGGACAAAACCCTTTCAGTGCATGAAGGGCCCTTACCCCATCGGGGGCAATGTAAAATGGTCAACTAATTCAGGGCTGGACAATTCCCAATCGACTGGCAACTACTGCAACTGCAAAAAAAAACAAAAACCTCCCCATTGCCCGGGTCACTGAGAGTTGTTGCCGGTGAAGATGCAAGCGCTAAAATGCCAGGGCCGTCAGTGGCACTCTCCCTTCTACTGGCCAACATCGCACAAAGATGTGGTAGGAGAGTGGCCATTTTGATTCACGCTTTGTTATGGTTTGTGTTTAGCAGAAAGTGGCCAGTGCATAGCCGTGCTGAGTGACATGGGGGCCCCTGGGGGCGCTGCTGACAGGTGAGGGATCCGGGGTGGATGTCATGGTGGGGGTAGCTACATGGCAAGGGGACCCTGGCACTTCCCATTAGGAGTCAGGAGAATGTTAAACACACTGCACAAGGGTCAGGAGAGTGTAATGCACAGAGTTTAGGGATCATGGGTACATAGCACACAGTGTGAAGGGGCCAGGAAAGTGTTATGCACAGAATGGATTGGTCAGGATAGTGTAATGCACAGAGTGCAGGGGTCAGAAGTGTGTAGCAAACAGAGCACAGAGGTCAGGAGAGTGTAATGCACAGAGTGCAAAGAACAGGAGAGTGTAATGTGTAATTTAGGATAAAAAAATGTAATGCAAAAGATGCGGGACACGTGCTCTGGTTGCCCCACGCTAGCTATGTCCGTGCTGCCAGATCATATTTAGACACCCCGCTCAACTGCTGTAACATGAAAGTGGATGAAAATATAGACTGTTGGTCTGTAATGTCTTCCTTGTACTGTAAAGTGCTGCACAAACTGTTGGCACAATTTAAATCCTGTATAATAATAATAATAATAATAATAATAATAATGATAGTGATGTATAAATACACATCTACTTCAGTGCTACTTGAAAAAATCCCTTTTATGTAGTGAGTGCTGCCTTCTGTTTGCCCATCACTGCCACCAACTTCCTGGATTCCCATTGTGCTTTGTGTCTCCTTCCCTGCTGCTTGATGTGATGCAATCTCCATTTCTCAAAGACTACATATCCCATCATGCATTGCTGCCAGCAATGATGATGTTGCATTGTTTCAAATTGAGTTGTAGTTCAGAAGACAGGCTCTGCGAGAGTGGTGGCTCAAGCAAGTGCATATTCACAGGGCTGAATTACATTTGGTCAGTGCATTGAGGAAATCCATCATATGGGCATCTTCAGTAAGTAAGTGAATAAACTTCTAGATGGATATGGGTTTTAGGAGTGGGAAAGAGCTTATGGAAATTCAATATAGAAAAGAAAGAAAAAAGGAAAAAGAAACTTATATAAGAGGAAGTAATGTACAATGGTGCACTGTGGGCTTTCTCTTTGCTAATTTCTCTTTAAAAGTCTCCTTCATCTGCTATTAATAAAGACATACTCAGTGCTGCTCGTCGGTGGTGCCAGACTGATCCGGCTCTGCAGAACTCCCTCAAACTTTCCTTGGGTGACACTTTGGTAATACAGCGCAGGGAGCGGTCGTCCAGGAACGATCGAGTACTTACAAAAGCCAGAAAACAAATACGTCTTAAAAAATGACAGCCGGGGTGAATTTTCTAACCCTTTCCATAGTTTTCCCTTGAAAGACAACCTGTCGCCTTAAAGTGAACCTGTCATATACATGAGCATATGATGACGAAGGGAAGTGAACCTGTCATATACATAAAGCACATGATGAAGGGAAGTGAACCTGCCATATACAGGTGAAACTCGAATAATTAGAATATCGTGCAAAGTTCATTTATTTCACTGATGCAACTTAAAAAGGTGAAACTAATATATGAGATAGACTCATTACATGCAAAGCAAGATAATTCAAGCCGTGATTTGTCATAATTGTGATGATTATGGCTTACAGCTCATGAAAACCCCAAGAACCCCAAATCCACAACCTCAAAAAAGTAGATTATTACATGCAATCAATAAAACAAGGATTGTACATAGAACAATATCGGACCTCTGAAAAGTACAAGCATGCATATGTACTCAGTACTTGGTTTGGGCCCCTTTTGCAGCACTTACTGCAATTACTTTTGCACGATATTCTAATTATTCGAGTTTCACCTGTACATGAGCATATGATGAAGACGGGAAGTGAACCCGTCATATACATGAGCATATGATGAAGATGGGAAGTGATCCAGTCATATACATGAGCATATGATGAAGACGGGAAGTGAACCCTTCATATACATGAGCACATGATGAAGAAGGGAAGTGATCCCGTCATATACATGAGCACATGATGAAGAAGGGAAGTGATCCCGTCATATACATGAGCACATGATGAAGACGGGAAGTGAACCCGTCATATACATGAGCATATGATGAAGAAGGGAAGTGATCCCGTCATATACATGAGCATATGATGAAGACAGGAAGTGAACCCATGATATACATGAGCACATGATAAAGAAGTGAAGTGAACCTGTCATATAC